CGCTGGACTTCTAATGGACCTTTTTGGCGATACGGCAGCCATTTTGAATTCTATTGTTTGAAATAGCTATTATGGGATGCTCGGGGGCAAATACATTCTAATTTGCACCCTGAGCAATAGAATTCAAAATGGACGCCGTACCGCTGAAAAGGTCCATTGAGTGGTCCAGGAGGAAAATGAGCCCTTCATTGTACTGCGTCATATATCGAACACGAAAGATCGTGTTCTGCCACATTTCAAAGCACCGAGAGTTGAAAATACGACGCGTAGCGGTGTGTTTTGATGAACTTCGAGGTGTTCGGAAATGTGATCAGACATGGTCTTGAATGCTTGGTATATTCTCTCAATCTAATCTAAAACTAAGGAGAAAACGAGAAATAAAATGGCAAAAATGAATGCTAATTAAGATCAGATATCCAAACACCGTAACATAACATGATTTCCTTTGTTTAAACTTGGGGAAGAAGAAGTTCTTTACTCCCACAGCATCTCTCTTCACTCAGGTGTATAAACGAATACTAACAGATCTAACGGTAGCGCTGGTGCGTGACCTTGCGATAGACTAGCATCTCACCCAGGGGAGAGAGTATGGGACACACTATACTAATGGCCTGGAAATAAGTGCAGGCCTAATGGCCCACAAGGCCACGAAAGTAACGAATGTGACGAACGAACGAACGAACGTAACGAACGTAACGAACGATCCCACAAGGCTCTAACGTAACGCAAACACCTAAACCTGGCTATTTTGTGTCTTTTTATTCCTAGGGGTTAAAACGCCTACAAAGTTTGACTCTGTTCCTTTTATACATCAGGGAAGTAAAAACCTTTGGACCCCTACACTGGGTAAGTCAAGTCCATCACCCTAGTCTCTAATCAAGCAGTGAAGGAAAATTGCTACGGTTGTAGGTTGTAGCGGTTTTAAAATAAATTATACAATTTGATGGTCAGCAATACATGCGGAGAGATGTATCAATTTTTCGCGCTACATTCTTGAATTAATGAAATCTTAATCGCTTGAGCTTGTGACTGGAAGGTAAATCAAATTTATCTTATCTGTTACTTTATTTTATTCTGTAAGCTGCATTACACGCATATAAGCAATTCAATTCTGAAATTTTTGAAACAGGGAAAACAGTACGGAAATTTCCTGGCAGCAGTTCTGAATAATCCGAGAATTATGACATTCTGAATCCCAAAACGCGAACCACGCAACCGAAGATTCTGTATTTCTGGGAAAAAAAATAAACTGGAAATTGAATCGCCCTGTGAGAAATTTTCGAAAATTTGGTAATACCTCATGAGGTTGTCCTGTTTTCCGGAAAATCTAAAAAATGATGTTCCATTTGCGAGAGGAAATATCCGAAAATCGATTTTGACATTCGAGCCAAAATTAAAAATTCTAAGCGATGCTTAATGAGTTGTCTGTGATTGGCTGCTACTTGGAAAAGAGAATCATCAACCAATCAGGGACCGGCTAAGAACTACGTTGTGGTGGGAGGGACTTGGTTTAGCACCAGAATCTTCAGAGTCTTTTCTTTTTCAGAGGTACCTCAGATCATCGTACAGGAAAGAGTGGACCAGGCGTATGATGGTGGAAAACCCGTATGGGGAAAGCCTGCAATCGTTTATGCCAGCGGTTCAGTGGCATCAATTGGTGTGATTGTCTTTGGAATACGTAAGTGTGGAAATGTTATAGACCAACACCGCGATATTTTAAGTCACAAATTAATAGTGTTTAAGGTAAAAAAAAAACCTGCCGCTGGGTATCCGCTCAAGTGACAATTTGATGCAATTCAAGCGCAGTCTTAAAACACATCTTTTTAGGAAAGCTTTTTACTAGAAAATCTATTATTGGTTAGTCAGTTATTTAGTTATTTAGTTAAGTAGTCAATTAGTTAGTTAGTTAGTTAGTTAGTTAGTTAGTTAGTTAGTTAGTTAGTAGTTAGTTAGTTAGTTACTTAGTAAGTAAGTTTTTATCATAATTCTATTTTATCATTATTCTCAGTTTTTATTCTGATTTTTACAGCTTGGTTATTTTACTAGTTAGTTTATTTTGCTCATGTTTTATATATTTCTACATTTTTTACTTTTTATTGGTGAGATATTTTTAAACTCATTGTAAAGCGCTATTGGATAGTAATAGAAATTGCACTATATAAAAAAGTATTGTCATTATTATTATTATTATTATTATTATTATTATTATTATTATTATTATTAACAAGGGAGTAATGGGGTGATAGCAGATTATAATTGTTTACCAACGACAAACTTGTACAAATTGACCAAAATCAGCCGTCTATGACTTCATCTGGTGTGTGTGCTCCTCAGCTCAACTCATGATCGCACTCCCGAGGAGCTATATCAAAGACCGTGGATGGATCATGTCATATTTGGGACCTGTTATTAACGACACTAAAAGGCACGTACGATGCGCGAGACTTGCAATGATGAAAGGATTCGATCACTTCTCCTGGAATCAAGACCAGTGTTACTCGTCTTATGCCATGGGTGCCAATGTATACAAGATGGATGATGCCGAGGGCAGACATTATGAATCCAAAATGGAGCATCGGGAAAATGTTCGTCCATATTTCATGAAGGGAATGAGTAAGTTATCACTACCGTGACTCTCCGATTTAGGTAGTATGGAGGTTTGCCTTTTTTGGACTCGTAATTCTGGTCTCCAGGCAAGGCCTATCCCCTCTCTGTTCCGTAAAGGTCTAAATGTCGGCTGGTAATCGAAGACTATGCAGACTTAAATAATTACATCTCAAATAACTACATCTTATAATAATTAAGAGTGCCTGCTTGTAAAAATCAGACAAATTCTTAATTTCGCGGCAAGGGTCGAAAATTCGATTTCGCTCATATTCGTATGGTAGATAGGCTAGGG